CCCCCCCGCGTACCCGTCAAGGAAGCCACGGGGTGTGGAGATGGCGAGCTGTAGACAGAGATCGTGCCATCTGCTCCGGCAGCCAGCAGCAGCTCTGGCTTCAGCCGATGGAAGCGCACGGCCGTGATGGCATGGCGCACGTGGTGCCCCGGGAAGAAGGAGGGGCCCGGCAAGCCCGTCATCGTGTCCACCAGCTGAGGGCGAAGGAACAAAGAGCCCCGGGAACAACGGCACCACCCTGCCAAGAGGCCACCTGGCCTCAACCTCCCCACCCCACCCCACGGTCACTTTGACCCCTTCGGCTGACTGACCCGACAACGCCCCCACTCCGGGGCCCAGAGTCCGGGCTTTGCTTCTCTGACTCAGACCTCCCAGCACCCTCCCTGATCCACCCCAGTGCCAGGCTCTTTATTTGCCTGGCAGACCCACAAGCCTGGCTTCCTCCTGGCCGAGCTGGGACCCAGGTGGCCTCCGCTCCCGGCCCCTCGGCTGCCTCCCGGGAGCTCTCTGGCCCGACCCGGCCTCGGCTGGCGACTCCCACTTGGACCCAGGCGAAGCTCCTGCAGCCAGCCCACCACCACCACTGGCAGGATCCCACCGGTGCCCCACTGGCCCCTGCCCTGCCGCTCTCTGTGTGTCAGCCCCTCCTTCCTTCCTTACCTGCACGGAACCATTTCCAAAACCGGCGGCCAGCTGCCCCCCATCAGGGGCAAAGCAGAGGCTGTAGATCCCGTGGCTGTCTCTGCGGAGGGGGACTCGGTGTGGCGCAGCCAGGCTAGTGGGGGAGCAAGACCCCTCCTCCAGCCACTCGGCCGGGTCCTGGCAGCACTCCACAATCACCAGGTCACGCGAAAGCTGCAAGGCCTCAGCCAACCGCCGCTGTGCCATGGAGCCGGGACCCTGTGCCCAAAGGCAGGGCGAGAGACAGAGAGAGATGACGGTGGGGTGGGGGTGGGGAATGTGGTTCCAGACACCTGCTTGGGGAGAGTGGCGACTCTGTCACCCGGCAGGGTGGGGGTACCTGCCTTGCCCACCACTCCAGGGGCCAGGAAGCTGGAGGAGGACTGGCTGGAAGAGCCGAGTGGCTCAGCGCCCCTCCTGAGAGCACCTTCTTTGCAAGCACCCGCTCAGGAGGGGGCTCGTGGCCACTGCTCACTCTGGCCCCAGCTGGAGGGAACCACCTTTTGTCAGGGAAGAACTAATCCCCCTTCCCAGCAGGGCACGCGATCACCCCTGCTCCAACTGCTCCCAGCCTGTGGGGAGAGGGGGCACTCCCGCATCTGTCGGCTGGCTGGCAGGGCAGCAGACACAGGCCATCCCACCGCTCCTAGTGCACAGGACACCACCGCCACCCCCCACCACCACCACCCCAGCTCTGTGAAGGGAGGAGGGTGGAGCTGCCCAGTGCAAAAGGGGGCCCAGCCCTTCCTCCCTCAGGGAGGGGCCGTGGCCCAGCAGCAGAGTGCCTGCTTGGCATGCTCAAGGTCCCCCGGTTCAGTCCTCAGCAGCAGCTCTGGGTCAAGGGGGACCGGGTAGTAGGGGATGTGGAGGACCCCTGCCCAGTCTGAGTGGAGAAGGGTTGGAAGTCGATGGACCCAGGGCATCAGGCAGCTTCCTGTGTGTGTGCTTGTGTTCTTCTTCCCAACTCCTCCTCCTCCTCCACAGGGCAGCTGCTGGTGTGACCTTGGGTCAGTCACGAGTTCTTTCAGAGCTGTTCTCTCAGGAGCAGTCCTAGAAGACGCTCTCTCAGCCCCACCCGCCTCCCAGGGTGCCTGTTGTGGGGAGGGGGAGGGAGACTCCTTCGGGTGAGTGAGGGGGGGGTATAAATCCAGTCTCCTCCTCCTCCTCCTCCTCAAGCATAAACTTTCCTGCTAGCCATTCATGCTTTTCCTCATCCCATCTCTCCCACATACTTCAAGGTTCTGTTTGGCGCCAGTTTGGTGTACAGCGGTTAGGAGTGCGGACTCCAGTCTGGGAGAACCGGGTTTGATCCCCCGCTCCTCCTCCTCCTCCTCCACGTGGCAGCTGCTGGTGTGACCTTGGGTCAGTCGCAAGTTCTCCCAGAGCTGTTCTCTCAGGGGCAGTCTCTCGGCCCCGCCTCCCTCCCAGGGGGTGTCTGTTGTGGGGGGGGGGGGAGGAGTTTGAAAGCCACTCTGAGACTCCAAGTGAAAGGCGGGGTATAAATCCAATCTCCTCCTCCTCCTCCT